CTCTCTCTCTCTCTCTCTCTCTCTCTCTCTCTCTCTCTCTTCTGCTCCCGGTTTGATTTAGATTTTCAGTTTTACCTGGAAGGTTTTAAAAGTGAACTGCAATGAACCAAACAGAGAAACATAATCAGCATGAGGTCGAATGTAAGATGTGGAAGCTTCTGCTGTGTGAGTCCGTGGAAACTTTGTGTGTTGTGCAGATTATAACAAGAGGTAAAGTGTGTGTGTGTGTGTGTGTGTGTGTGTGTGTGTTAATATGACGTAATGTAGAAAGCTTCCAGTGAAGGTTAAAGGACAAAGTTTATAGGTCATTAAGTTCTTCTCTGTGTGTGTCAGTGTCAGAACAGCTGAGCATCCCACTGTTGATGGGCGCTGGTCTATTTTTAACGGCGTGCTCTGCTCCTGGCTTCTGATTTATTGTCTCCGAACGTTCAGGATGTTTGGAAACAAAAGTCTCGGTGTTGCACGTCTGACACTTTGGTGTTTGGTCGTCGTGGTTTAATCGGCCGTCATCGCTCGTCGTCTCCATGTTTCCCTGAACTGGACTTTAAGCACCTCCGCAGCAGAGGTCAGATGAGGTTGCAGGGCCGTGTTGCAGCACAGATACACACCACACACACACACATCTCACAGTTTCATCTCGACAACGTTTCATGGAGCAGAATCCACGTGGATCAAATCAAATCTTTTTCTGGTTTTGATCGTATCCAGATTCACAATTTTTACTTGAACCCGATGACACCAATTAGACAGACGACATGAAAGTACAAGTTAAACATCTGGATGTGGTGTCTACAAACCTCCATGTGAGCAGATGGGACATGAATAATCAAAGTTAAATAACTGTTTGTCAAAGATGGTTCCTGTCATTTCAGGTCGTTCTCATCTCTGATCAGTTTTGTTTTAATAAGTTATTTGATGATATAACAACAAGATTGAAAGCTGAGACTCTTGATTGGTCGATAGTGTGTACTCGTGGGATTTTCACCCATTTGATTCGTCCTCTTCTTTATATCGCAGCCTCTGGATGTGAGATATCTTGTCTTCAGGAAGTGTAAACGTGTCGTCCATGTATTTGTTGACTCTACAGGGAACACAGAGGAGGCTCGGTCGTCCCCTCTCAGGTTTCTGACTGTGTGGAGCAGTGCAGCCACAGATACGTGTTTTCATACAGTTGTGTGTTGTCAGCAGACAATCTGAAGTTTTTATATTGGTTCTGTGAAGTTTGCTGTGTTGGTCTGAACTCATTCAGAATCTTAAAACGCTGGAGAACCACAGACATAGAAAAACACAAACACAATAAAAGTATAAATATGTTGCTGTGCAGCTGCAAACAGCAAATACAAACTTTCATATCTCCCAAATCTCCTCATTTCTGTTTGTGGACACAGAGCTGCATCACAGGCTGTGTGTGTGTGTGTGTGTCTGTGTGTGTCTGTGTGTGTCTGTGTGCGTCTGTGTGTGTGTGTGTTTGATTGATTGATCAATCACCGTTTTCATTTTTATCACACAGATCAAATTATATTCACATTATATTATTATATTAAGCTTCAGTCAAACTGACAGATCACATGGAAATATGTCTGTGATTCATCAGGGTAAACAGTTTTTAACACACACACACACAGACACACACACACACAGACACACACAGATCTAGATTGATGCCTAATGTCATCTCGTGTCTTGAGGCTGCTCCTGCGTCACTCCAGTAATCACTCCACATTAAGAGTGTGTGTGTTGTGTGTTGTCTGTGTGTGTGTTGTCTGTGTGTGTTGTCTGTGTGTGTGTTGTGTGTTGTCTGTGTGTGTGTTGTGTGTTGTCTGTGTGTGTGTTCTTGGTCGTTAGTTATGAATTAGCGATCAGGCATGTGAGCTGCATTTAGCTCATCAGCCGTGTATCCCCGTTCTTCTGGGAAGACGAGAACCGAGGACAGCTGCATTTCCTACTCAGTCTCGTAACATGAGGACAATAATGTCCCGTGTGCTTCACAGAGGCTGAGGGTTCTCCCTTCATGGTTTTACTGTTCGATCAATGTTTGAACATTTCATAGAACTAAATTCTGGACGAGGAGTTTGTCACCTGTATTTTTAGTTTCAGCCTCAGGTTTCATGTTTCCCGCTGCAGCCGAAGTTAGTTTCACTAACTGGTCACTTTGAGGCATAAAGAATGAATGTAAGAGAATTAAATTTGTGTTTTAAAACTAAAAGGTAAATACAAATGTTTAAATGTTGTCGAAATAGTCATTTTTAAATTCTTACGTCAAGTCTCAAAACAAGAAACGATTGAAGTAAATTAGAAAAACATTTTCAACCAAAAGGCACAAAAACTTCATAAAAACATGCAAATATATAAAACATAAAAAATGATCTTGGACTAAATGAATAAAATAAAATTAGATCAAATCAATAAACAGAAAGTTTGATGTAAATTTGAAATCATCTTTTCTTCTGATAAATGCTGATGATGATGATGAAGATCTACAAACATACAACAGGAACTTTTTGACTTTATAAAACTGATAATAAGAGAAAACACAGTGATGAACTTTATATAAATCATGTGAAGTCATGTGGAGAACATCTCAGTCTCCTCCTCCCTCACTGTGACGGCCCTCTGAGCTCGTGGAGGATTCAGTCTGTCGTCTCGTCGACAGCAGAGCGATCGCGGCTTCCGCGAACCGAAGGGGATTAACTGGCAGACTGTACCCAGGGACGGCTCACTGCTCCTGGGGACACGCAGATGGCAGCGTCCCTCTGAGCCTCTGGTTGATGTGAGGCTGCAGGAGCTGAGAGTCCTGAGTGTGAGAAGTGAACCGTCGTCTTCGTTTGTGACGTCATGAATCAGATCACAACTTCACGGCCTTCAGGAAGTTTGTGATTTTTTTTTTTTGGGGACTCTCAAGGATTTAAAATTAGTTTTTTGTTTAGTTTTTCAACCTTTGGATTATTCCGAGGAAGATGAACGAAGGAGGAAGAGGAGGAAAGAGTGGATGTGTACTTCTGCTCACAGACGTGTGTGTGTTTGTGTTTGTGTGTTTGGGGCAGTGTGTTAGTTTGTGACTCAGCAAGTGGCTGCTCGCTGGTGAAGGAACACTCTACCCCAGATACCTCACATTACTGAGTGTGTGTGTGTGGAGATAAGGGCAGGTGCTGACCCAACACACACACACACACACACGCACTCATTCCTGTGTATTTTAAAGTTGTCAGTGGAGGAGTGAGTTCACCGACAGTGTTGTGGTCGTGTGGAGCAGCTTCAGCATGTGTTTGACGGACAGATGATGCAGAGTGGTGGATTATTAAAGATTACAGCTGAGCCTTTTGTCCCGGGACACACGATGAAGAGGAGGAAGGAGAGAGCAGGAGCTCCACACCTCCGCCTCCAGTGAGTGTTTGTGTGTTTGTGTCGGAGTTATATCTAGACAGTTGTGTATTTCTCTTTCTGCAGCTTTTACTCTCAGTATCTTTACACGACTGTTCCTATAACAACAACAACTTCAAACTTCCTAAATTACACAAAGAAGAACAGACAGAAAAAAAGCCTTTAAGCTGCTGAACACTTACCTGCTGCTGCCACCTGCTGTCGGTTTTAAAGAAAATCAGTGATTGTGAAGAACAGAGAGAAACAGAAAGTTAAAAGAGTAAAAGAAATCACAGACAAACTTAAACTAACATGTTGCTGCTTGTTTTATTTTGTTAAATCTGCGCACAAACACAATTATCATATATTCGGCAGCAGGTTCGTGACAGATTCGATTTGATTCAGCAGAACTTTGCTCTGATGGCTCTGATCTCTCTCACTCCTCTTTATTCATTTCCACTTTGTTAACTTGGACGATCTTAACTTCCATCGTTATCAAACCTGTAAAAGTCAAACTTAAAAAACAGAGATTCTTCTGCGTCTTCAAAACCTTAAAACCTTAAAGTGTCTCTCGGATTTCACACTATAGACTTCTATAATACCTTGTTGTTACTTACGTTCCTTCGTGTGTGTCGTATTTAAACGTCTCTCAAGTTGATCCTGTTGAAATGTGTTTGGTTCTGTATTTGGTGAAGGAGCTAAATCTGTGGCCACAGATGGGCCTGTGTGCTGCTCGTCCTGGAAACACTTCACATACTAAATATGTAGCTCTCGTCCTCCCAGCAGGTGGTCTCACCCGCTCTGTCCCACCCAGCGGGGGGGGGGGGGACACGGAGACCACGGCTCAGAAGCCCCGTCGGTCTGTGCCAGCTGAACGCTGCAGAGCGGAGGCAGATCTCCACCAGATCTTTGTCTGAGCTCACACTTTGATTTTTATCCACATGAATTTAAACAGCGAGTCGTTGTTGTTTGACTTTTCCGATCCCTGAAGTCTCAGCGTGACTGGAATTCTTTGGTTGTGCTGCCATCTTTGAGCTCTGTGAAGCTCATCCAGTACGTTCCGTCCCCCCGTGATGATTTACGGCGCGGGGCGTTCACCCTGCTGTGGGGGTGGGGGGGGGCTCACCCTGCTGTGAGCGGACATCAGGCTGGCAGTGAGACAGTGAGGATCAAACACTGGAGCGAAGAGACGATACGATCCAGTTCTCTTCTGTTCAAAATGGAAATGAACTCACAACGTCACACAACTGAAGACTTTTTCAAAGCCTCTTTTTATTTATCAGTGTTGGAGGTTACTCAGCCACAAAGTTTAAATCCTCCCGATAAGAGCTTTAGGGACTTTTAAACAATCCACCGAATCAAATGTGAATCTGTCGCATGTGAAATCAGTTTTATAATAATAAGTAAATTAAAAACAGTGACCACGTGTTGTTTGGAAAGTTTTAAAGTAAAAGGTCGTGACTGAAGGTCAGAATGTCTCATCCACTCAAACATATTCAGTTTGTGTGATTAAAAAACTATTTGAACGTCACTTGTGGGTTTTATAATAATATTAAATCTTTTACTTCAAACTGTTAAAGTTGTGTATGAAAATGTTTAATATTATTTTATAGGTATTATATTGTACATGTGTTTTTTTGTGGCCTGAGGCTGAGAAGAAAAACACTGGAGGAAAGTTTAACAACAGTTTTTATTCAAGTAGAGTCAAGAACTGCAAACACACACATATGGATGCACAGTTCTCGTCAGCCATCCCTCTATCCTCACCCCTTCTCTCTTCATCCTTTCTTCCTCTCCCCCCCTCTCCCTCCTCTGTTGGCAGAATCTGGTCCCCGGCTCAGCTGCGTTGCCACAGCAACAGCAGCCTCCTCCAGCACCTGCTGTCCCCCACTTCCTTTCATCCCTCTGCCGCTCAGGCGCCCGTCATCACCCTCTCTCCCTCCTCTTCCTCCTCCTCTCCCTCCCTCTGTTCCTCTGACGGCCCCCTGTCAGCCCCTGTTCACCAGCGAGGAAACCCCTTCCTCTGGAGGTAAGGCTCTGGCTGTGTGACCCATCCAATCCCACCCCCTCACCTCACCTCTGACAACCAACCTGTCTGCTTGTGTGTTGTTGTGTGTGTAGTTGTGTGTAGTTGTGTGTAGTTGTGTGTAGTTGTGTGTTCCCCGACCCTCTGTTTTGTGTGAAGTAGAAATTTCCTCAGTTGGCCGAACAGCAAACAACTAACGAGCTGTTGTGTTTGTCTGATGACACTAAACACAGTCTGGAGACGTCTGACCTGTTCTGGCTTTTGCCTCAGAACATTCGTTTCTCGTGCGACTCGTTCCCTTTGCTAAGAAAACGATTTGCCTTAGAGCTCCGTTACGTTCACCGTCAGATAAATACACAGAAACTGACGGAGCCGTTTTCTGCGTTTATTTGATTTGTATTTGTCCGCGTCTTCTAAAAACTACGGAAACTCACGAAACATAACAAACTTTCTGAGCAGCGACTTTACGAGTTGGAACAGATCGTTTGTCAGAAACTCTTTTCAAAACACACTCATGAATGTACTGTGTGTACCACAGTATACACAGTTTAACAGAATCTCCAATGATACAAATATGAATTATTTAACATCCTAATTTTACTCAGACCTGAATTTAGAGTCTGACTCACCTGGTCGAGCTGAAGATCCTAAAAGGTTCCTGTGACGTGTTGAATAATGTATCTGAGGAAAGTAACCAGCGTTTACTTATAACACCAAGAAACCTGGTGAGGCGACAACATCATTGATACCATTCAGTCAAACATCTGGAGCTAAACATCTGTTAACTGATCCTGTCGCTGTTTCAAAGAGAGAAACAGAAAGAGAGAGAGAGAGAGGAAGGAAGGAGCATCAAAGAGAGAGGGAGGGAGGAGAGAGAGAGAGAGAGAGAGGAGAGGGTTCACACACCAGCAGCTCTCTCTCTCTCTCACTCTCTCTCTCTCACACACACAGACACACACAGACTCTGTTGCTGATGTGACAGCCGTTTGGGCCGGCCGGCGTCTGTTTGCTGAGCGCCGCCGCGTCAGAGAGATGGTCGAGCGTGAGCGTGAGCGTTAGCATGTCTGACTCCTTCTGGACGGTGCTCTCCAATTTCTCGCTCCCTGAGAGAAACATGCTGCGTCGCTCCAAGAGGTAATGACTCCTCCATCCAGCACATCTCATCCCTTCTTCACCATCCCTCTGCTCGCCTGCCTTCATCTGCACTTTCCTGCTCCTGTCTCTATTTGTTTCTTTCCCTGCGACACGTATCCCTCTCTTCTTCAGTCTTCCTGCTCCTCTTCCTCCTCTGCACGTTTTTAGATGCTCAGCAGGAATTTCCCGTGAAGGTCATCGAACTAGATTTGTCCTTTGATAAACAGGTCAATGTGTGTGTCTGAGTGTGTGTATGTGTGTAACTGTCACATGCAACACTGCTGGTATGTGTCTTCTCTTCTTTATTACATTTCATCAGTCTGCGTATCATCTGCGTCTCTGTGATGCGAGTGCAGGTTACGAGGGAAAATGTGACGTCCAGGCAGACATCACCATTTGTTATCATTTCTGTGTCTCTCTCTCTCTCCTGTCATTCCCTCAGTTGACCTCCCCCTCCCTCTCCTCCTCCCCTCTTCCTCTCCTCTTCCTCCCCTCTTCCTCTCCTCTTCCTCCCCTCGCTCTCCTCTCTGTCTGTCAAAGCCAGAAGTGGCTTCTCCTCCATGAAAGGGAGGAAGAGGCAGAGCTGTACTTATCACTTTGAAGCAGCAATTTTCTTCCTCCTTCCTCTAATAACAGTAGCTGCCGCGCACACACGCACGCACACACACGCACGTGCACACACACAGGGACACACTTGTTCTTCTGTGCTCCGTGCCACCGCCCCCTGTTGTGTGTGATTGTCTCTGCAGTGTTTTTAAAAGAGAGGGCGAGCTTATGGAGTGAGACAGGAGCGACGCCTGCATAGCAACAGGCTCTGGCAGTTTGTGGATCTGTGTGGATGAAGTCCGCAGCTCGTGTGGAGCCGTAATGGAGACGTGACTGATTGATCTCTCAGGCCGACTCTGACCTGAGGGTTTCTTTCTAACACCAGATACCACATACAGATAAAAACTATCATTCATCACCCTGATTATCGTTTTCTGAGGGGAAGACATATATATATTTATATTTGAATATGTTGTGTGTTTTGTTATTGTCCTGTGCTGCGTGTTGTTCATCTAAACACAAGGTCACAGCATCACATCATGCACTGGTCTTTATTTAGACACAAGGCCACTGTCTGACAGATTCAAACCAGAGTTTGATCTGATCGATGGAAAATGTTTCTATGTAGATATTCATTTATTTTGTCATTCGTCCGCTTCTGTTGGCTGGGAAACTTGGACAGACTTAACAGCTCACACACAGGCTGCAGGAGTTCTATCACACAACATCGAGTTTTTATTTACTTCATAACTCCTAACTCTAACTTAAACCTAACTCATTCTAACTCTAACTTAAACCTAACTCATTCTAACTCTAACTTAAACCTAACTCATTCTAACTCTAACTTAAACCTAACTCATTCTAACTTAAACCTAAACTCACTCATTCTAACCCAAATGTAAACCTGACTCTAACCCTAAAACAAGCCTTTGAAAAAGTGACGACCCTTGAATGAAAATGTCCACACTCTGTAGGGTCCTCACAGATATATCAAGTACACACACACACACACACACACACACACTCACACACACACTCACACACACACTGTTGTCTGATTGATTTCCTGTGCAGACTTTAACCTGCAGACAACATTATTGAATGGACTTTAGGAAATGAGTTTAGCTGTAGATCTTATCCACGTATGCTCACCACCGTCTAGTGTGTGCGTGTGTGCGTTTGTGTGCGCGTGTGCGTGTGTGTGAGAGAGAGAGAGGAATGATCCTCCTCCCATTGGATCCTTAGCTGCTCGGGAACAGGAAGGAAATTTAATTTCATACAAATGGATTCTGTTAGAGAGAGAAATGAAACTGAGCAGAACCGTTCACTGAGCTGGTACCTGACACACACACACACACACACACACACACACACACACACACACACACACACACACACCTTCCCCAAATTGCCTGCAGGAGAAAGAAAGTATAAAAACTCTTTTCTGTCTCACACAGACTCACACATAAATTCTGAACGCTGTTTTTTTTAATCACTGCTGCCGCTCTCCTTCTTCTCTTTAATATCACTGCAGCTCTGTCACTTCCTGTTTCCCCTCTGCAGACGTTTGACAGACGTTTGATGCCGTGTGTTGCCTCAGATGTGAATTTATTTATTCATGAGACGTCCATGAAGTTTTGCACATTAGCTGCTCAACAGCAGCTGAGTGAACGACGCTCGCTGCAAATGAACCTGCACAAACTAAACCGTCAGTTCAGTGTGAACGATTATTATAATTATTATAATAAAATACAACAACATTACCCCCCCCCCCCCCCGCTTTATTTCCACCATCAACCTAAAAGTTCCTCTGAAACTCAACTGAGCAGATTTCTACTGAGTTCTCAATCCCACTCCTGCTCCCCAGAGGAAGAACCCTGTACCGTTCTTCACTCAGAACATCTGCTCACGATGTCTTCATGCAGCGGATGTGACATTTACTGCTCCTCTGAGGACGCACACTTTTCATCTGAATGACCCGCTGACCTTTACTGTAAAGAAGAACGAAAAGTGTGTCTGTCGAGAAACACACCTGCAGACACACACTCACTTCTGTGTTGACCATGTTTCTCTCTTCAGAGTTTACTATTCCCATAATGCCCCTCTCTTCACGAACCAAGGGCTCTTCGTGTGTGTGTGTGTGTGGAATACATTTCCTGAGCACACATCGCTGCATATCCAACATGGCAGCTCATCCTTCATACAGTGGTGTGTGTGTGCGTGTGTGTGTGTGGACCACATGCTGTGTTCAAACTGCTGATGCTGCACATCTCAACAGATGGCAGGAGACACACTCACACACACACAGCATGTCATATCTACATGAACTAATTATTCATTAGATGGGTTTGACACAAGCTGCTAATATATCAAACATCTAATAATCTGCACACACACACACACACACACACACCTACCTGCAACAGCTTAAATAATAATGCAGAAAAGATTTAAGTTAATATTTTACTTACTGCATTAATTCAAATTTTGTATACTTGGTTGTATTTAATTAATTAATTAATAATTATTCATAAAGGGATGCATGATTCAGCTGCGAAGCCTCTGTTACATTTCTTTGTCATAGGGAGACAACAGAGCGACCTGCAGCCTGCAGATTATAAAACTGTGTCATCAGCACAGAGATGAGAACAATCAGTGTTGTGATTCACTGTGAACAGGAGAGGACCCACAATAGATCCCTGAGGATCTCCATTCAAAATACTGATGGCCTCTTTTTTTAACGTGCACCATATTCCTCCGAGTGTTTTGCTGTCAGACATTTTCCTTTAGAAACTCATCATCACTGTGAAGCCGGAGCCTCGTCGCAGCCGCCCGTCCCAGCTGTAATTTCCTCAGAGTGTAACGAGCCTCACTTCGCCTCCCGTCATTACGCACACGCTCGTTTCAGAGCTCCGGAGAAATTGACAAAGAGGAGAAAATGCTGTGAGCTGTTAGGTGTGAAGACTCACTTCATTTCCTCCTCTTCTCCTCTGTCAGGGGACGGATGTCACAGCTTAAAGCAGATTGTTCTTTTCTCTGCAAGCTGCTTTTGTGTGCAGGAGCAGGGTGTACACACACACACACACACACACACACACACTCACACACACACACTCACAGACACACACACACGTACACAGTCCTCTCAGCTCAGTGGGGAGCTGGAGTCAAAGCATTTCACTGCAGGATCAACCTCGTAATGACTCCTCAGCCACTTAGCGAAGGAGCCTAATAGACATATTCTGCCATGACGGATTGATAAAAACCAACATAAAAAATATCCAGGTGCTTCACAAACCTGAGAGAAACCAGGACACTCGTAGAGCACAAACCTTTATCAGGACAATCGCTGTGTCTCACCAGGGTAAAGACATTTCCTTTTTAAACTCTGTCCATTCGGGTCCATCGCTTCACGAAATTCCACGGAAAATTGTTCAGTGATCAGTAATTAGCGTTAATCCTGCTAACAACCCCCCCAAAAAAAGAACATAATCTCCTTAGGGTGTTAATAAAGATTCTGAGGGTTTTCAAAGCGGATTAAAATCATGTTGTTGCCTTGACATAAATTAATATTCATGTTTTGCATTAGAGGTCTGGAAGTTTTATAATTTTTAAAGGAACTTTGAGTTAGTGCTGTTGTCTCCACTTGAAGATCTGAAGCTGTGTCTGAATTCAGGGGACGCCTCCTTCGTAGGACGCGTTCTTCACAGACCACGAAGGTCAGAACGAAATGAGACAGTCTGGATGTCCCGCCCTTACTGCTGTCGCCTAGCAACAGAGCTGCAGTTGGAAACGACAAGAACGTTTTAATGCCTCTTTGATTTTTAGCATGTACAGGTCAGCTGATCAGTACAGCTGTGTGGCACAGTGTGATGCTGTACGACGTCTAGTCGCGGCGCTGTGATGCAATCGGTCTGTAAATGCAGCCTCAGAGGGAATCAGCCTTGTGACACAGTAAAGGTCAGAGCCGTTGTTGTTTGGAACAAAATGGCTTCAGCATATTAGGTTATTTCATGACATTAGAAGAAATACACACGTTTGTACTCAACCTTGAAGTAAATGCAGGACTGACAGAGTCTGTCTGTCGTGTTCTGGCGGCTGAAGGTGAAACGAGAATAATGTTTTTTTGTCGGTCAGTAGTTGTGACAGTTGTGTGTTGCACCAATCGCTGCTGTGATTTTGTCTTTGTGTTTCATTGTCGTCCTCTGGTGAGAAGGACGCTGTGTGTAGACGCTCGCCTGAGTGGAACTGTAACATCTGTGTGCTGCCGGCAGCGAGTGCACACGTGTGTGGTTTGTGTGTGGACACCTGCTTGTGTTAACACGGAGCTGTGTGTTACTAATGACTGTTCCTGACAGCGTGTGAGGTGGACGTGTGTCTGGTGGACGTGTGTCTGAGTAACGACTGTGGAAACTGTAAATCTGTTTGGTTCATTGCAAAGCTCTTTTAAAGTCCAGACTTCAGAGATGGTTGTGATGTGTGGACTTTTAATTTGAAATCCTCACGTTGATTGAGGAGCAGTCTTTTAACGGACTCTGGTTTCTCTCCTCAGCTGTCGGACGAGCAACAGGAAGAGTCTGATCGTGACGTCCAGCACCTCCCCCACCCTCCCCCGGCCACACTCACCTCTACATGGACACACAGGTAACACACATGTACTGGACATGTACATAACATGTGTTTTTAAACTTTCCCACTGGCCTCAACATAAACTTTATACAAGAAAAATATCATTAACTCATTTATAGTATTTTGTCTAATGAGCTCTGTCCCTGTCTAATTAAGTATATATTATTTTAAAATACATGTCAAGCCATACCATAATTAGTTGGAAGCTACAGTGTCACATTGTAGGTGGAGTCTGATCAGCTGTGATCAGCAAGTGAAGCCAAAGCATCTTGATTGCCCCCTGGTGGCTGGCTGCAGTATCGGCCCTTTGAGTTGACGTTAACTAAAGGTTTCACAAAGATCTTGTTCATGTTGCTGATAAGTTTGGTTATTTGAGTGCATGCGTGAGGTAACAGTGTGTGAGGTGTGTTAGAAGGAGTCCTGTTCACCTTCACACCCTGACACAGCTCAATTAACTCCTCACACTTCAGCTCACTCAGATATCCGATGATCTGGATTCAATCACAACGTGTCTTGTATCTGACGATGCGACGTAAAATCGATTTCCTGCCACTCTCCTGGAAACCTGGTTCATTCATCTCCGCTCTGTTTACCTGGAATGAACAAATGAAACGTGCACTGGCAGGATTTTTGTTGAACACGCCTGACCGCATTGTAAACCTGCAGAATCTACCACCGGCGTCCCAACTCCCCCGTCTACTCCTCAAATATGAAGAGAGAGGAGAGATGGTGACTTTGAGTGATGGTGACTGAAGGGAAGCGAGCGACATGAAACATGGATTAGAAGGACATGAAAAAAAAGGGATAGGACAGAGGAGGGAGGAGAGAAAGATGGAGAGATGGGAACAAATCAACAATTCAATCTGTCTCTGTGAAGAGAGAGAGAAAGAGAGAGAGAAAGAGAGAGAGAGAGAAAGAGAGAGAGAGATCTCATTAACTCAGTGTTTGTGTGCGTCCACGCTCTGTTGACAGAGTCGCACACCTTTCATTTCCTGCTGAGGAAGTAATAGAAGTTGCAGAACTGTCAGTCAAACACACACACACACACACTCTGTGTTTTATGGTCTTGACTGTTTATCCAGTTCTGATGATTAGAAGTTTTCATGTGGTCAAGTTCTGAACCCTAATTCAAGGCCAGATGTAAACGATACAACCAACCGTCAATCAAAGTCATTTATCATCTGTATAACAATGTCAGTCAGTGCTTCACTAAAGAAATACAACCAGACGAAACAGTAAAAATGAGACGGAGGAAAAAGAAACGATAAAACAAGTTCTGATACGTGAGAAGAGTCGGTTCAGATGAAAGCTGATGTCAGACAAAAAGAATAAAGTCAAATTTAAGACGGCATTTCAAAGGAGGCTGAACATCATCTCTATGTTTGGAGCTAATAATAAACTTTGAGAGGCAGATGAGTCGAGTCAGAGCGTTAAACGTGTTTGAGAACTCAACATGAAGTTTGTTTCAGCACAAATACAAAAACCTCAGTGAGTCTGAAGTCGGATCTTCTCCTGCAGCCTCTAGTGAAACATCTGTAAAATGTCAGAGTGAGTCCATGTGAAGAAGAGGAGCCGTACACGTAGAAGACGAAGACGTCGATTTCGTAGATTAAATATGAAATCAATAAAAAGACTGAGTCCACGTTTGTGGTGTTGTTCTGGTCTCACTGGTCCAGAATCCTCCTTCATTCTATCGCTTCCTGTTTTTCTCGTCGTCTCCGTCTTCATCCTCCAGACTGCTGTGGCTACTGTGTCTCCATGGTAACACAGCCACCAGTCTCGCAGTCGTCCTCTCACTCCCGTCTTTTTTCTGTCTCTCCCTGCCGAGGAGACAAATGCGGCTAATTAAATATCATTAATTAATGTCACCGCCGCTCATTGTTCATTTTCTCTCTCTCGCTGCTTCAAGGAAAAAATACAACGTCTTTTCCTCCTGTTCAGGTTTAAATGTTTGTTTCAGCTTAAACACAAACCTGAATGTGTTGAACCAGAGCTGTGAGATCTCATTGTCAGCAGGACGTTCACTGATTAATATGCACCACTGGAGACCATTAGACCTTCTCTTCTCTTCAGTCCAGTTTTATACGCAGGTGATTGCTTCTGTTTTGCTCCTCTGTCTCGGTCTTTCGCTCTGATCCCTCATCGTGGTTTCAATCATTCAATTTACTGCTCATCAGAAGGAGATTCAGTCTAATGTCCTGAGGGGCTGATAAGAACCAATCTTCTCCACAAATTACTTTTATTAAATCTTCAAATTCTAAAAAGAATTCCTTGTTTCCGCTCGTGTTGCCACTTCTGCCGTCTCCTTCTTCTCCTCGTTCTTTCCCTCTCTATAACACTGTAATGTATACTTTCATCTTCCTCCTCTTTTGTCTTGTGAGTATCTGCACCTCCTCCTCCTCCTCCTCTCCCTGTCCGCTCCCTCTGAACTGTCCTCGTGTCTGTTGTTGGGTAAAGGTCAGTGTGTGATCGACAGCTCGTTGTTCTCGGACTTCTGATGAATTCCGTCAAACTCGTCTTCGTCATTCTAACGAAGGACCGACAGAAAGAATCAAGCTTCTGTCTCGTCAAACGCTCACAACAAAATTTGACGTTTTCTTTTTCTTTCCTCTTCCTCTGTTTTTCCGCCCCCTCCCCAATTACAGCAGTATTTTGTTATCCCGACCACTCGCTCCCTGGAGAGTCAG